TCGATTTTTTGCATATTTGCAAATAAGATAAATAAAATATATTTTATTTGCAAAAACTGATTTATAAATAAGAATATGTTCATCATTTTAATTGGAAATTTTTTCAATATTTCTCTCCTCGCTTTACTGAAGATGAAAAGATGAAATTGAAAGCTCGAATTATTAAAACATACTTTTATTTAAAAAAAAGTTTTTTTTTCTGTTCTCATGTTTTTAAAATGTTTTACTACTAGAAGTAATAACCAAATACATAGGTTTTGTGAATTTTGTCTGTCTGAAGAAGTCGAACGATTTATTTGCAGAGGTAGCAATGTTAATTTTTTTTTTATGGAAGAAACTTTCAAAAAACACTCCTGATTATATCGCGCCCCCTCTCCCCCAACAGAGCAGATGGTTTCCTCGTTTCCTGAGGGAGCAATTGGTCCAATCCCGCGAAATTAACGCAGCTTTCTGGAGCTGTGTTGAATTTTTATTCACTAAAACTCCCGTTACAGTCGTTCTCCAGCATAAAGGGGGAAGGATACTGAAAACTTACAAATATTATGCAATGTCTCCCTAATTGTGTGTCGAATATACTGTCCTCATTTAGAGGAAGAGGTGGATGCAGAAGATCCAGAGAAACCTCCTTTTAACCTTATCCTCTCCGGATCGTCCCAGAAATGCAATAGAGTGCGAGCATTACATCTCACCATCCCTATACGCAAGAACTAGACAGACAGACAATGACGTGCCTGCCTACCTACATCCGGTGGCTCTTATATTTTGCCTGGATAGCTCGGTAGTAACTAAGACTATTCGTGGAGAATGTTAACTTTTGATCAATACTACATAAACTATAAAATAGAGCTAATTTCGCTGTAAGCCATTTTCCAGAAAAATATGTGGCTTCCTTTATGCATTGTTAATTTTTTTACTATCTTTAATAATCTTGATTTTTGTTGTAGAATCCAAATGTAAATTTACTGTTTTCAATGCAACGTGTAGCAATGTTGATACTTCTCATGTATACTGGCTTGTTACCATTTGTACCACTAAAGGAAACACACCTTGAAATTTTCTTGCCTTCAATTTATTTGCGGTAATATAATTGAAACTTTTATGTCTTTGTAATTACAATGGAATTACGGAAAAAACATTTCTTGTAAAAAAGTTCTTTTAATTCTAGAAGAAAAGGAGGTCCAAGTCCAACATTTTTACCACTGGAAAAGTTGGTAGTACGTACGATTAATGTACTATTAGTGAGGCCGTGTTTATTTAATCATTTAAGAGCACGAGGTATACATGTAAGTATATAGAATTACAATTGACATTGATTGATTTTTAATTGACTTATATTTTCTTATAGGTCTATTTTTGGGTCTTGAATAAAGATGAAGAATTCGAAAGAGCATTTAATCTGGGAGCAACTGGTGTAATGACAGATTATCCAACAAGATTAAAATTATTTTTAAAGAAACGTACAATAGAATGAACCGGATAGAATAAATAGTCACAGATAACACAAACTATTGAAAAATTTACGGAGTTATTTATGTCTGGGAAGAGATATCTGCCATGATAAGCCAGAAGATATATAAGAATAAACAAAGTAGTATATTTTTTATAAGCAAAGCAAAACTATTTGCTTATGTTCTGTGTATAAATGCCAATTTTGCCACAATTATGACAGTTCGTACAAATTAATTCATTAGCGAAATTGCGTATACAATATCCATTGTATACGCTGCATACAATAGTTGTATTATTATTACATTAATGCGGATATCCATTCATGGAATAAGATTGCTCTGGCCTCATAAATCTTCCAATTATTCATTTACATTTTTTGCTTCATCGAAAAATATAGACTGTCCTGAAATTTGGAAATCAAAATACTATAGCAAGAAAATTTTCGAAAAAGATAAGTAAAAAAGTATTTATCATTTTTCGTTCCAGTATATATAAGAAAAATCAACATTGCTACATGTTGCATTGAAAACAGTAAATGTATATTTGGATTCTACTACAAAAATCAAGATTATTAAAAATAATAAAATATTACAGATTATAGTTAAATGGTTACTTATTATTGACCAGTTTTAAACCTTATATCTCAAAAACTATTATAAAATTGTCTTGCTGTAACATTTTGATTCACGAATTTTGAAACACCATTTATATTCAACGAGACTTTTTCTTTTAATTGTAATTAGATTAAAAGCTAATATTCTAATTATCAGTATTGATGGTTATTCGTGTAACTAGACTGGTAAATAAGCCTGCGCAGCTAGCCATTTATTATAATATAGCGATTTTTACATAATATATGATTGTAATGCGTACTTCTAATTTGCTGTTAGAATCTATTCGCGGTCTCAGATTTTATATATTATTTTTGTTTACGGGATAGGCATACTTTACCTTTATATAATATTCCAAAAAAAAAACATATTCCTCAATAGCATTCGTTTCTCTTATTGTGATTTTTTATTTATAATATTCTTCTACACATAGATTTATTGTAAGGAAATTCATTGTAAAAAAGCCTGCTTGCATATCCCAGTTTTTAGTACAAAACATCTATTTATTACTATATCTCTCTGGGGCCAGCGTTAACTTAGTCCAGCATTTAAACGCTTTGAATAACATATATAATCTGATCTATATATGAGGCATTTGTTAAATAAGTTTTAATCTTCATAGATTTGTGAAGACATTTTATGTGAAAAGAGAAAACTCGATCTACGCAGATCGTGATATGTCCTTAGTATATATTGGTGTGATACAAGGAATTTCCTTTTTGTGAAAACTGAATGTGATAAAAGTCTGTGTCAGTCTCATAATATTGAGAGTGTGAAATCGATGAAACTCTATCAGGATTAATCCTATTGAATAAAGAAATAAATTTGTGTGCAAATATTGTATTTGGCGTATGATATTTATACGGTATTACGAGATAGTTAAGGCATGATAACCAGTATTAATATCTTATAACAACTTAATATATGTAGGACATACTTCACAGGAGTTATCATTCTTCAACGTTACATCCATCCCTGAAGCATATCCTACATATTAAATTACATCATGTATTTGCATACAGAGCATTTTGCAATTAACATAACTCAATTGTCTATGAATATCTATATGTTAAATATATGTACTTTTCTAATCTTTTGAACGTAGAAACAATGTACTGAACAACTAAACAAATATTATGTTAAAAAGACATATTTAACTGCAGCTCACGCATTTATAAAAAGTGTAACGATATAAAATCTTTTCTAACTTATTATATGTATATTATATATAATTTATATTTAGGCTGTTTTATATATAAAAAAATCTATGTGTATATGTGCCTATATATATATGTGCCATTATATATGTATACAATATACATATTCAGATAAAAGTATAACAATTGTATAAGATTACCAAAGAGACGTGAAAAATATCAATATTTATAGTTATGAAAAATAAGAAAAATTATACATTATATGCTGTCTTATGGGACGGTCGTAGAATTCATGTGATGTACGTTGTTTTTATTTGATGTTTATATGTATAATCTCAATTTATGAAAGCTGTCTTTAATGATACATAATTATAATCTTAATTTACCAAAGAATTTTTTAAAATTATAACTTTAGTATTTCGACGTATTATGATAGCATAAATATCCTTTTATTTATAATATTAAGAAACATATAAATTATTTATTATACAAGTTTTCTTGTCCCATTTAAACGTTAATGATAAAAAAAGTAAGAAATAATTTATATGAAGATTGTCTACTTGATTGTAAGTGTACTTCAGGAGGGAAGGATTAAATAAATAATATACCAAGTTTTATTAAGATTATTTGCTTTTATATTAAATAATAGTCTTATAATGTATAATTAACATTGAACATGTTTTACAATGAATATTAAGTATAGAAAAATAAATGCAACTATGTACAAACTCATGTACCTTTGTATTTGAAATTAACTTTTGTGTATTTGTAAAACTCGAAGTTTATAATATAAGTTTTCATTCTATGATAAATAATTGTTCCTTTACCCATATAAAAATAAATTATAAGTCTCATATGGTAGGAAATTTAATTGTATCTATGCATTTCTAACTTTTATTTAATTTATTGAGATTCTAAGATTTATTCCTTTATGACGAAGGAAAAACAGTTACAAATAAATTAAATTTACATCAGATCTAGAAAATGTGTGAGAATAATACTTTCATTATTCTCACATATTACATCACATATTCGAGAATAATATCTTCAATATTTGTATTTTTTATATTACAGTATCTTTTTGTACTCGTAATTAATTAACTCTAATCTAGAGACATTGGTAGTGTCTCGGCCCTAAGCTACGCGCAGCGATAAATATATTACATCAGAAAATATAAAGAATATTTGAGAATCTATCTTATATATAAAATATTATTTGATACATAGTATATAAAATGCATTATATCGATTATTTATAAATGGAAGTATATAATTGTATAAATAAATAAATAATATACATATAATGTATATATCTAATTTTTATATATAAATAAAATATTTATATATATGTTACGCACGAGCATATAACGTTTGCGTTTACGCGACGTTTCGAACGAATCGCGCACTCGTGCACGAAAGTACACTCTTTAGAATGTTTAGAACACAGAACATTAATTAGTGAACTAGCAATATTGTAACGCAAAGTAATATTACGAAAAAAATTCACGTTCAATTCTAAATACCAAAAACGAAACAAAATGCCCGCGCTTCTTTTTTCGGTGTTCTTTGGGCGCTCGCGAACTCGACGAAGTTCTGAGGCACGAAGACAATGCCTCGAGTGACGCGAACGCAGTATGGACCCAACAATACTATAATATACACATATTATATGTATATAATACATATATTTATACAATATATATATATATATATTTATGTTTATACATATAATTATTTTTGTCAATATTTATATTATATAAAATGTGTCTAACTCATTGTCCTAAAATCGTAGAGAGACGTAGTTGCTTAGAGATATTTGTTAATATTATGCAAGAAACGTTTAGTGCATATTACTGTTTATTAATTTCAATACACCTTCGTTAATTTATCTGTAAAAGTAAAATACACATATTTTGCACAGAATAAGTCCGTCTGTTGTTCACTTTCAGCACTCGCATGCATCGTATTTGTATATTATTGACATAAAAATACTTGAAAACTATAGTTTTCAATTATTTTCAAAAACACAATATATGCTTTACCTTATGTTATGATACTGTGAAAACTTGCAAGAATATATAAAATAGCCTTGTCACTCCCAGAAAGGAGTTATTAATCGAAAAGCGATCTGCCATAGAAAATGCTTACATTTATAACAGCAGATGGACTTATTTCTATACAAAACACACATCTCATTTATTCTTTATAGAAAGATTAATAAATTTAGGAGTGTACTATGAACAGTATATTGCATGTAAAATTAAACATTTCTTATCACTGAATATCAGTTGATAAGAATTGTATGCATATAATATCAAAACTTGCTTGTACTTGATGTAAGACATTACTATGTCTCTTGATATTTATCAGTTAATTAGGCAAGCATTTGTTAGATTTAGGTAAGAGTTTTTGTGACATATACTTCAGTAAAATCTCTGTTTGTTTTTTTTTAATCAAATCAATTTTTCATTACTAAGAATTATACTTCATAGCTGTCATGGATTTCTGCATATACTTATTTCTATTTAAAATATCAAATTCACAGATCTTGTGTCTAGAAATTACAGAGATATCGGTATTTATGTGGGTTCTTTTGATGTGTTTGTTTGGAGCTGCTCCTTGTGCTTGCATTTATGATACACAAAACTATCTGACGATTCTCTACTATCTATTGTCATAATCGTACGATACGTAAAAACCTTGCCTTTGCAGTAGCAGCAGTGTCTATCAGAGGGATGCGAATCGTCGAAGTGCTTCCTTATGGCAGCCCAGTTTCCCGAGATGTCTCGGTTGCAATCGTCACAATGAACACGCGTTTGTCGAAATCTCTCATGGACCGAATCCGTGACGACACGACCTTCAACTTCCTCCAAGTCTTGTACATTGACTGACATCTTGCATCTACAATTCAAATCACTCAGTTAATAGAACGTCCAGTATAAGAGAATTCTATTTGCAATATTTAAAATTTACTACACTCAATCAAAATTCAGAGCCATTAACTTTGTTAAAAGAGTATTTCCAACAATAAAAAGCATTTTAAATTTAATCCTTAGTGCAATGAATTTTTAGTCCTTTTACTATACACAATTAATGGGATTAATCATCACTTTTACAAGTATAAAAACTGTTAAGTAATTCGCTTACATCTACTTTAACATGTATAAAGTTATGTATTAAAAAAAAGGAAAGAGAATAGAATCCATTATTCATCCAAATGCTCCCAATATTTCAAAGAAAAGAAATGCACGAATGACTCAATCGTGTGTACTAAGGATTAAATTGTTGACATAGTTAGACTTTTGATTTTAGCTCTTTCGATACGATTAAATAATGTTAATTACCAGTTTTTCTCGATGAATATGCAACTCCAAGCGTCTCAAACTCTTTTTTTTCCTCTGTCCACTTTCACTCGAAGCGCAATGAATTATTACGTTCAGGTTAGGAACCGTATGTAGGATTGTATTCAAATAACAGCAAGTAATGTATTCTTATGTGATGTTTTTCACTCCAATATCTGAAACCGTCGATATATTCTAATCACATTGCGTAATTATTTTATATGTATATATATATATATATATATTATGTATATAGAGATAAATACTTGTTAATCCTACAGCTTGCTCCTACCAGCTCGATGTCAACGTGCGTCAGAGCATAGTGTAAGAAAAGGTATTTAACAATAAGTAATACATTAATACACCATACGTCAAAATCAAAGCGTCAACAGCGTCAACAGACGTCAGGCGCTTTCCCTCTTATTGTCAGATTAGGTTAGATCTTAAGCTGACTTGGGGGTTGGGGGGGCCTTGGGGCTCTTGGGAGTTGATAGAGTTGATGGAGTGCTTTCCATTTAACACAAGTCGACACAAACATTCTCTCTTTCTTGATGTTCAGAGAGTAACAAAGATAAGAGAATAACACTTGTATCAAACGGAAAACACCCACTGAGGTAAATGTACCAGTCAATGAACCTGATTCAATCATTGGACAAAATAACAAAAATTTTAAGTATTAAGCTTTTAATCAATGATATATGTACGATTCTAAATAAATTCGTTTTATTAAATTTTTATAAATAAATTTATTTAGAATTGTAGAGCTTAATATTTGAAAAATTTTATTATTTTGTCTAATTGAATCATATCCACTAACCGTCCACCAGTGTCCACTCTAAACTGGTATATTTATCTTAATATTTCCTTATCAAATTCAGATTACAAGCTGATATTATGGGTGCGTTCCGAGTTTCGCATGAAGTGCATGATGCATCATTTGTCCTTGTTGTTCACCAAATAATAAAGAAGGATAAAACAATACATCATGCGCTTCATACGTAACTCGGAACGCACTCTATGTTTGTCGTCATTTTAACATCAAAATGACATTAAAAATATTATTTTGACAAAATGATAAATAACATCAGCTCGCTCTTTAGATAAATTATATAATTTTGAAAATTACTTATTTAAGTGTCAAACGCACACAAGTGTTCTTAATAATTAAAATAAATAATTCAACTCTCTTCCAGTATTAAAGATATATTTTTTAACAAAATGCAAACATATACATTTTTCTATGTTATATTTGAAAATAGGAAAAAGTTTGAAGGCAATTTAGACTTGGATCAAACATTTTAATAAGTAGATATACTTTTAAAAAATAATTAAGATAAAATAAGAAAATTTTCACTTAGATATAAAATTGCGTTATTAAATATCGATCTTATTGAACTATATTTTATATGTAACATTCACTTTTACACGAAAAGTATAAATTTTCAGTTCCAGTTACTTTTTATGATTTATTTATCTTGAAAATTACAAAAGTGAACGCAGTCACTAGAATATTTATCATTTCATTGGTCAACACCTAGTGAATTAGTTCACTTTTGTAATTTTCATTTCATTTCAAGATGTACAACTGATCCCTGTACATCTAATACATTCTTAAATTTCTTTAAAGGTTATATAATTCACGAAAAGACGAATGCAATTTAATTTCTCTTCCAAGATCATTCGAGTCCGATTAGTTTTTGTGAATAGGTAAAGTACAGACACGTACAAATAACTACGTGTATTTTATTAAAATAGAGAAGCAAGGGGATTATACAGAAGTCTTTGGATAAAGTCATCAGTGTCATTTATATGGGCTTAATTTTGAAGTGCAGTCCTATCAGGGAGAACACCAAGCATTTGAGATCCTGCACAAGGTAGTAGAAACACCGCAAACCCTCCGGGTCCCGCGATTGGTTCACGTCCAGGAGGGAGCCAGTCTTGGAGGTGGTGAACGATATGTGCTCGTCGCCGATGACGATCTCCAGTTCCTGGCGTCCGACGCGGTCAGGCTGCGGCCAGAGCGAGTCGTCTTCCTGCATGATCTCCGAGTCCTGGATAATGCGCTTGAGCTCTTCCATCACGCACTGGTGCACATATGCCTCCTTGCGAATCATCGTGTCGTTCTTGTAGTTGGAGTTGTTGGCGTAGCGCAACTTGCCGTCCGGCCGGAACTCGAATTCCAGGAATTCATGCCCGAACTTGCCTTTGTGGCCGACGTAGTAGCGTATGTAAAAGTCCGTCGACATTCTCACTGCTGATTATCGTTCAGCAATTACGATCAGTAGCGGTAAAACGTCAAATGTTCAAGTTTTTCACACGAGACTGTCTTCCAATGGCTTCTAACGTTCTAGCAATTGACGTCCGCCATTAGCAAACATTAAGCCGCTTTTTCATGTGGCGAACTTGGTAAGCTACTCGATATTATTAGGGTCAATTTCGATGTATCGATTGTTACATGTGATTGGTTATCGTAAAACTAACGTAATGACGTATTTATATAAAATTATAAAATATTGTATAAAATATTTATATAAAAATTATAAAGTTATATTTATATAAAAAGTATATAAAATTATGTAAGTCTGACAGTTCGGAATTTAAGGATGCATGTATACACTGGTATTTTCTGACAGAATGAAAAGATTATGAAAAAATTACAATTTTTTAATATTGTATTTGTGTATGAAAGTGATACAGAAAGTTTTACAGTGATTTAGAAGCTGGATCAAAAAATATTTCAATAAGAAGTAGATATATATGTTTAAGAAAAATAATTATAGATAAAATGAGGAAATTTTTATTTAAACTATAAAATTGTATTGCTAAATATAAATACCTTATGAACGTTTCAATGTATCTAACATTCGTTTTATATGAAAATAAATTTCCAATTTCTGTTACTTTTTGCAAAAACATCTGATAGATCTTTATAATCACCAATTGATTCAAAACTATTGTTTATTTCTGCTAATCTAATAATTAATAGCAAACTTGTTCACAATAAAGTTAATTTCCAGCTAAAATTTGATGCTCGCTAATCAGGGACAGATCCAGAAATTTATCAAGGAGGGGGGGGGGGCATTGACGCCCCGCAAGCGAAATTTTTTTACAGTCAAACAATAAAAAATTATTAATTTTATGTTAATTCGACGTTAACAAAATAGCTAGTACTACGAGTCAATCGCCAATAAATTTCGGAGTTTAGTCATAGTCAGCAAAAAATGCTAATAAAAATCGTAAATGAAATAGTCTTAATAAATCTATTTATTTTACTTGTGTTTCATAACATTTTCTGAAACAAAGGATGCATTCCGTTTCACGCATGATGCACATGATGCATTATTTATCTTTGTTGTCCATCGAATGTTAAACAAGGATAAATGATGCATTATGCACATCATGCATGAAACGGAATGCACCCAAAATGTAGTATATTCGATTGTTCAAAAGATAAAAAGTGAAATCGTAAAATAAATAGATTTATCAGATTTATTTCTTTGTAACTGAATTTTTTATCCTCTTTCTCTTCAATTTTTCTAATTTTTGAAGTGAGATGGATGTATATATTTAAGCGCTGAGGGAGAAAGAAAGATCGAGCAATCTGGAGTGCAGAAAGTGTACGTAAAACGAACGGATCCAAGAAAATTAAAGTACCCTGTACTGGAGTGGCAAGTGTCAAGGGTGAAGGGACTAAAGGGGCGAAGGGAGTGAAGGGACTGGTAACGAGATCGACGTCACTCTCGTCAGTTGACGTAAGGGCGAGCTGGGCGAGTTATAAACGCGTTCCGTTGCGTGTTTGTCGCACGGTAAGCACCAATCATGTGGAAAAAGGGTAACGTTCGCACCACGAATCTCGGGCATTCGTGCGACCGACGTTGAAAAGACCTCCTCTTCTTCGTAATGCCAATATCGATGTATGTATCAAGCTAGCAGTCTGAACGATGGGCTCATGTTGCTCGACGAGTTCACGTAATCCACAGGCGACGTTCGTAGCAGGGTGAGATTTGCCGTCCGAATTGCTCGTCGCGCGAGAACATGAACAAGAGTCACGCGAATAAGAAGCTGAATCAGCTGCCGAGTTGGCTGTGGACCAACTCGACCACCTTACCACCGGTTTACAAGATGGTCTGGGAGACGGTGCGGGAGGATCGGGTCAGGTCGAACGGTATGCAGACCGAGCTGCTCGTCGACACCAACAAGGTGTTCCCGCTGTTGCTTACCAGCCAGCTGCCTACGGAGGTGCTCGGTCATATATGGAGCCTGGCCAACCAAAAGTATGCTGGACAGTTGACTGAGCAAGAACTGTACATTGTCCTGGCTCTCGTGGCGGCTGCTCAGACATCCTACACCTTCAACAGTCTTGATATACTGCATTTACTCCCTTTTCCACCAACGCCCTATTTAAACATAGATTGCCTGATGAATTTGCAGCCTGCCGCGCAGGCGAATGCATCAAAACTTCAGCACTATGAGGAACCCAGTAATATGAGTATAGAAGGAAAATACATTCCTGAGACTAAGGGAAAAACTAAAGGTAGAATCCAAGTAAACACAGTGCCTGATGCAAATATACCCTTCTCTGGCAGTACTGGAAAATTATCTTATTTCGATAGCAAGATGCCTGGTATAACTGGGAGTAATGTCAATAATTTGTTTAGAGATGTAAAACAAAATCTGCG